CATCGCACAATGACATCCAGGAAAGCCAGTGCAACGCAATTGGAGTCAGCGAAGCAATAGGTCAGTATGACAGTCCTTTGAATAGATTAATACGACACTACTCCGATTGGACAAAATTGAAAAGAGCTGTTGCATACTATATTATTCTAAAAGACATGCTCCGAAAGGTGAAGGAAAGTCATCTACTTACGGCTAGGAAGCTGGGGGAAGCTGAGATTGCTATAATCAAATATGTGCAAACCACAAATTTTCCTCAAAAGAAATTAGGTAAAGGCAGCAATCTAGCTAAACTAAACCCTAAACTAAATGAGGGAATTCTAAGAGTTGGGGGCAGAATCAAAAATGCACCCATTCCCGAAAATATGAAACACCAGATCATTCTTCCAAGAGATCATCATGTGACTACTCTAATCATCCAACACATACACAAAAGGATTGGCCATCAAGGATTAAATCATGTTCTGTCAGTACTAAGACAGAAGTACTGGGTATTGAAAGTTGGACCACTAGTCCGGAGCATTGTGAAGCAATGTACTATTTGCAGGAGTGTAAAAGCAAAGTCCATTGAGCAGTTAATGGCTAATTTGCTGGTGGAACGTGTACAACCTGACGCACCTTTTGCGAACACCGGCATAGACTACTTCGGCCCCTTCGAAGTGAAATATGGAAGGGCCTGTAGAAAAAGATACGGGGTAATCTTCACATGTATGGCATGCAGAGCTGTACATATTGAAGTAGCTGCATCTATGGATACCAGTTCCTGTATTAATGCTTTGCGCCGTTTTATAGCAAGGCGTGGCCAAGTGAAACACATTACCTCAGACAACGGTAAAAATTTTGTTGGTGCCAAGGCAGAATTTGAATGCATCGATAAGAAGAAGATGCAAGAATTTGCATGCAACCGAGGGATAGAATGGAAATTTAACCCGCCGTCAGCCTCCCATTTTGGAGGCGTGTGGGGGAGGCAGATACGGACAATACGCCAAATCCTCAACAGTCTGTTGAATGAGCAGTTTATAAAAACGACTGGATCTGATGAACAGTTGAACACGTTCATGTGTGAAGTGGAGGCGATCATCAATAGTAGGCCTCTAACGAGGAATTCAGATGATCCAAATGATTTAGATGTTGTGCTGCGCCTTTCGCTCGCCATAGTGTTTTTTCGTTGGCGGCGTGTTTCGTGATGGCTAGCAA